GGCCATATATATTTATCATAAACACAGGCCTATGTATATTAGCAAACTTATTAAGACTTTATGAGTACAGTAGACTTTCCTTCACCTTGAAACTTTCGCTATCCGACAAAACTAGCTATTGTCTAATCAGTAAACAGTAGGCCAGTCACGCTAAAATTGGTCCGGGCCAAAATCGGTCCGGGGGACCGATTTTGGCCGCTAAAATTTGTCCGGGGCCGATTTTAGCCGCCAAAATCAGTCCTCCTTGGATAATATTGGTCCGGCCAGGACTAGTTTTGGCCAGATAGGCTTCACGGCCAAACACACGCCATCTCACGGCCAAATTCGGCCAAACTTTTTTTCGATATCGGCCAAAATTCGGCCAGATTTTAATCCGATTAGAAGACAACATGTGGGTACTTTCATTTGAAATATTACAAAAATTATACAAAAATCAGCGATCATTCGTTTGAAATTGAAGAAATTCAAATGATATACACAGAACAATGTTAAAAATAAATAGCCTATGTTCTTTAGTGTTGCTGGCATGCAGGCCAATTCAGGGGCAAATCCAGAGATGCCCGAATGGGGGAGGGCCGGGGCCGAAAAAAGGGGAGGAGGGAGGAGGGAGAGGGACGAAAGTGGATCCGATCGGGGTAACACCATCTTAGAGGAAATTTGTCTTTTCTAGACGCCCGAAAATAGCCTGATGCATTTGGGCAATCAATTTTTTTTTAACCCTCCCTCCCCCTTAAATCCACCTCTGCTATTTAAAATCACAATATTAAGATTGATCTAAATTTTATTTAAATGTAGTAAATATTAATGTACATTGTAGTCGATCTATAGCAAAAATTTTAAGGGCCTGTTATTGGCAAATCCATGGCTCTCTTTAATTAGAATGAATTAAGTTACATAGTTAGGTAACACAAACTGGCGTTAAAACAAACCTATGAAAAGTTTAATAAATACTTTTTATAACTTTCTTAATTCGCCTCTGAATGTTATTGTCGCAGTACTTAAAGCAATAAATCAATGTTGCTATCAGAATTATCTTCTTCATTCTCATGCAACCAGCTAACTCCAGAGTAACTTAGAAGTCTCTGCAACACTTGCTTGAAATTGGAGGTGCCATCGGACCCGAATGATCGCATCTAGCTCTACATAAAGAACACTGCAGCACCCATGGCTATATAATTCAAGTGGGCAATGATTTAATTAAAGTACAGTATTTAATTTATTCAAAAGAAATCCAAAAGAGATAGAACCTCGACTAGGATGGAACATATACAAAGACACACGTCACAGTATATGGTACAAACTTGTATTGAACTGTCTTCATAAAGCTTAAACGAGGATAAACTTCATACAAAATATATATTTCATCTAAACAATTTACATTATTAAATGTAACTGTTATTTTTAAAATAAACCCTCTTACGTCAAATCGACTAAAGGGGGAACATAGATTAAGTGTTTAGTGCAAGTACAAACAAAGGTACATGATTGAATCAAATATAGAATTTAAGCTAACAAAAACAACATATCCAAAACAAGTCTATGTTATATTAGGCCTATATTGAAAAAAAAAATGTAAACTTTTCAAAAATTCGGCCAAATATAGTTTGGCCGTGACTTTTCAAACGTTACGGCCAGGAAATTTTTTATACGGCAAGATTTGAGGAATCTGGCCGTCAAAAAGGCCAAATGGCAACCCTGGTTTTGGCTTAGCCTAAATCGTTCCGCCTACGCCTGCTACACAGTGCTACACTAATACGGGTTTGGTCTCAACCAATCACAGCAGTGAGTGGTTACTTATCGGTCCGCATAGAGAGAAAATCTTTTGGTGGGAAAATTGAAATTGAACGACCAATCAAAAGAAAATGATGGCTTAAGTCCAATCTGAAGCCTATTTCGTATACACCCCCCCCCCACCCCAGTATAAGATGTACCGTATTTCACAGTTGACATTATTTCGTATGAAGAGGCTGGTACGTATAATAGATGGAAGTATAAAAGACTGTACTAACTTCT